CACATATATATATATATATATATATATATATATATATATATATATATATATATATATATATATATATATATATAATTTTTAAGTGTTGTGAAAAAGCTGTACCCAATTTTAAAATTTTTATTACGAATAACAAAATTAATTTTTCTAATTTGGAACAAAATTAGTTTAATTAATTACAGATAATACGAACTTTTGGCACACTATTATTAACTTTTCAGTGTTCAGTGTTCAGTGCAGCTGCCATTTGAGTTCCCCTCTTCGTCTAGGGCTACGTCCCGCTTCAAAATTGCCGGCGATCTCTTTCCACTGCGGCGTTCTCCGGCGGAATCGTTAGTCTTCCGCTGATTCAGAGGCTAAAGGAGCACCGGCATTCACCCTCCGCTTTCTCTGCGAGCTGATCCTTTTTCTTCCTTTAAGGTGCGACGTTTTTTCCGAGCTTTTGTGTTTGTACGAAGCGAGTGATGAGTTATATTTTGTTTCAGATTTTCCGGTTTTTGTGTGTGTACGCGTCTGATTAAGCTTTTCGGTGCTCCGGGTTGACTCGGTTGGTTGTACCTGGTCGACTCTGGTGAAATGTAAATTCTGATTCTCTCGTAATGATTATTCTATGCTGATGATACATTTTTTTTTAATATACTTTTTTTCAGCAATTTTGATGGATAATGCATGACTCAAAACTGTTTGTGTAGTGACTAGGGATTGTATACTCAGCATTAGTATGAAAGGCTGATTCAATGTTTGAGTAACTATGTCGTGTATATTGTGGCACGGTTAGGGTTTGTTTTTGTTTTTTATTTTCTGCCTATGCCAAGAAAATCATTTCACTTTTTAGGTGATCAAGTTATGGTTTGAGTAGCTTCTATTTCTTCTTTTCCTCGTCATTTATATTTGCACAATGTTGTTATTCAGATGGGAAGCAGCTCAGATGAAGAGTCGGACTTCAGCGATTCAGAAATAAACGAGTATAAAGAGAAACCTTATGAGTTGCTGAAGGCTGGCACTCACAAAGTAAGGGGCCCGAATGGTTCCTTTAGATGCCCTTTTTGTGCCGGGAAGAAAAAACAAGACTATCAGTTCAATCATCTTTATCAACATGCTATAGGAGTGGCTAAGGGCTCAGCCAGCCGAGGTGCAAAGCAGAAAGCAAACCATCTCGCACTGGCTACGTTTTTGGAAAATGATCTAGCTAACGAGGCTCCGCCACAACCTCAACCTACAGTACCTGTGCCTGCTGCTAAACCGGAGCAGAGTGAGTTGTATTGTTGGCCCTGGGTGGGCATAGTAGTTAACATATTAAAAGAGGCAAAAAATGGTGATTGTGTGGATAGCTCTGATTATTGGTCTAAGAAATTCTCCAAATACAAGCCTGTAGAAATTAAAATATTCTGGGATGATGACCGGTCGACTGCACAAGTTGTTTTAAGATTTGATAATGATTGGACTGGTTTCAAAAATGCGATGGAATTTGAGAAGTCCTTTGAAGCTGGTGGCCATAGTAAGAAAGAATGGGATGGTCGAAGAAATTCTCCAGGTTCAAATATTTATGGTTGGTTTGCACGTGAAGATGATTACAAAACGGAAGGGCCTGTGGGAGATTATCTACGCAAGAACGGGGAATTGAAGACAATCTCTGACCTGGTCCAGGAAGCGACCAAGGATAGGAACAAAATTGTCGGTACTTTGGTCAATGAGATTGACTTGAAAAACGAAAACCTGGATGAGTTGCAGATCAAGTACAACGAGAAGACATTATCTCTGAGTAGGATGCTTGAAGAGAAAGACGAACTTCACCGTTCTTTCTATGAAGGTTTGTTGTCTTCCATTCTCTCATTCTGCCTCATGGTTTTGTGAGACCTGACACAAATCTCTTCTCAAATAAGCAAATTAGGACCTAGCATTCAAAGCTTTTACTACTGCAATTTTTTTAATTCTCACTAGAGCCTGTCTATTATAACATTTATCTGCTTAAACATTTTTTACAACTTAGGCTGGCATAATGACAGTTTACAGATAACCAATGTGATTAATCAGATGCTATTGGATATTCGTTCATTCAAATCTATTGTCCAGAAACTCCCTCGTCTGATTTTGTTGAGGCCAAGTTTAATATTGTTTTTCAGAAACAAGGAAGCTACAACGCGTTTCACGTGAGCACATTAAGAGAGTTTTGGACGAACAAGAGATGTTGAATGTCGAGTTAGAAAACAAGAAAAAACGGCTTGATTCTTGGAGTAAAGAACTGAACAAGCGGGAGGCATTAACTGAACGTGAGAGACAGAAACTTGAAGAGGAGAAAACAAAGGTAAGGCTTTGTGTATTGTGCGTATAAATATCCTTGCAGACACATCCTAATGTAGATAGACACTTCCAATTCTAAGTACTTATTTGGGTCCTCGTAACATTTTTCATGGATTTGTCTGAAGCATAATGTGTTGTATGTGCATATTGATTATTTTTACAGTTTTTATTGCATACACACTGCAGACTGGACTGTAGTTTTTTTTTTTGTGAGTTATAAAGTAGTCTATGTCCTTTGGAGTACATTTTTCTTTTTGTTTTTGCCACTTATCTGGGGATATTTTCCGCGGTGCTTATTTATTCAGTTGAAACCAAATTTATTTTAACTTGCCGTATTCCTTTTCTATCAGTATTAATCAACTCTGATTGTTATATTGAGTAAAAATGAACTTGTGGTGAAGTTTGATGTTATATTTTCTCTCAGAATGATATGAGAAATAACTCGCTTCAATTGGCTTCTGAGGAGCAAAGGAAAGCAGACAAAAATGTACTAAGGCTAGTTGAAGAACAGAAGGTATGACTGTTGGTATTATCAACTTTCGTTCTCCCATCACATGCTTACAAAATATACTACATGTGTGGTGACATATACTGTATAATATGTAGAGGGAGAAGGAAGAGGCTCTTAAAAAGGTTCTTGAGCTAGAAAGAAACTTAGATGAGAAGCAGAAATTGGAAATGGAAATTGAAGAACTTAAAGGAAAGTTGGAGGTGATGAAACATATGGGAGGAGATGATGCAGCTGTTCAGCAGAAAATAGATAGTATGAATGAGCAATTGCAGGAGAAAAAAGATGATTTGGATGGTCTCGAAGATTTAAATAAGCAACTGCTGTTAAAAGAGCGCCAAAGTAACGATGAGCTGCAAGAGGCTCGCAAAGAACTAATTGAGGTATGGTAGTTTGATATACCAGATTGATATGATTATAGCAATTGGCTAGATGGTTTTCTGTTTGAATAGCAGTCAAATTGATCGAGTCTTCCTCTCTTGCTCTCTTACCCTCCTATCCCAACCCTAACACCAACTTCATTGACTAATGACTATATATTTTCTATGAAACCAAATTTGTCTTATTTATTTTCAGGGCTTGCAAGAAATGCTGATTAGTAGCCGTGTCAATATCGGAATAAAAAGAATGGGTGAAATCGATGAAAAAGCATTTAAGAATGCATGCAAGCTAAGATTTCCACCTGAAGAAGCTGATATAAAGACTGTTGAACTGTGCTCCTTGTGGCAAGAAAAGATGAAACACCCCGACTGGCATCCATTCCGGGTAGTCGAAGATAGCAAGGGGAATTGTCAGGTAGCTTGAAAAAACCTTCACTATCTTGCTTGTCATGTATTGCAGTTTAATTTTTTAACGATTCTACTTTTCAATTTTTAAAAATACATATATATATAGATACTTGGATCAGGACATGAGATGCCTCTCTTTTAGCATGCTCGATTTCATTAAAACCTGAATTGGAGGATTATGGGAAAGTATTTAAATTCCATAATAACAAATCCATTGAGTTTGTTTCGATTTGATTGATTCATTTGACAATGGAATTTGAATCCTAATCCACCCATTTAGAGTCATTTGGAATTCTTCCCCAAATCCTCTAATCAAATCTCATTTCCTACCCGAATTAACCCCTTAATGATTTAAGTTTTAAGTTTTAAGTTTTTTTTTTCTTTTTTTTTTTTTGGGTTCCATAATTCTGTGGGAAATTTTATACGTAAATAACTGCTGGTGCTTAATGTAGAACTACATAAAAGAGGATGACGAACTGCTAAGCGGCCTTAAGAATGAGTGGGGAGATGATGTGTACGACGCAGTTACTACAGCGCTGAAGGAGATGCATGAATATAATCCAAGCGGATGTTATTCAGTTCCCGAGCTATGGAACTTCAAGGAAAATCGTAAGGCCACTCTGAAGGAAGTCATCAGTTACATCTTCGCACAGTTGAAAACTCTCAAACGCAAGAGAACTTGAACAGGTTTGTTCGCCTTTTTGCTATATATCTCAAATTACAATTCATTTAATAGCTCCTGTCTTCAAAACACAGTAACGCAAATTCGAGTTTACGATGTGCATTTGCCTTGTTTTTATAGGCTACTGAACATAAAAATTCTGAATGATTTTTTTTTATTATTTTTTTTTTTCCGTAGGAGGATATGTTACGGGGCAGGTGGTTCTGGCATGGCAATTCAGAAATTTGGAACGCAAGATTAGGAATCGAGAGTCTTAACTATTGGTGGTTACTAATATTGAAAACTGAAGCTTTTGAGTTGTCGAACATCATGTAATTGAAGCACTAACTATGGTAGAACTGCTGGATTATTATGTTAACTTGGTTGTTTATTTGCAGAGAATCCTAGAATCTTAGTTGTGAAAAGGTTCTCTTTTTGTGCGTTGTTCTTGACGATGTTTTAGGAAAATACGTGCTACGGTAACTGAAATTTAAAGTCGAAAATGCGAAAAGTGCAATGGTGATGCCCAATCGAGTTTTAACTGTTCCTTTTAGCTTACTTTATATCAAGTGGGAATGAATGCATCTTGATTTTGATTGACTTCACGTATATACACGTGGATGCGTGTACAATGTATATGGATCTAAATTCAGGTCGGATTTCCAAATTTCTCTTATTATAATGGGAACAATAATGTAACAAATGAGATGCAGAATTCAAAGTCCAAAGTCAACTCCAAAAAGTTGATTCAAACCTCAATTATTGAATTTGAATTAAATAAATGATTTTTTTCAGCCAATGTATTTAAGCCAAAAAAATCAAGTTATATTATTATTATCACAAGAATGACAAATTCTAACCTTGCTAAGTGGCTGATCTTGTGTATTTTCCTATACTTGATAATCAATCCTTCAACATGCTCCGACGAAGAAACTGATTTGCTGGCGTTGTTATCCTTCAAGGCGAAAGTGATCGACGCAAGAGGTGCTCTGGACTCGTGGATATCAAACGGCTCAACGGTGGACAGTTACTGTAGCTGGAGAGGCGTTTCTTGCAGCACAAGGCACCGAAGCAGAGTAACATCCATCGACCTCGATTCGCAAGGGTTGACGGGACACCTTTCACCTCATTTAGGTAATCTTTCGTTCCTCAGACATATTAGTCTCAGAAATAACAGTTTTTCGGGCCCGATTCCCCAAGAATTCGGCCGCCTTAGGCGGCTTGAGTACATTGAGATCAGCAATAACTCTTTCAGCGGTGAGATTCCGAGAAACTTATCGCAGTGTCGGAATCTTTACTATCTTAACTTGATTGACAACGAGCTCACCGGCATTATCCCGCCCGAGCTAAGTTCTCTCTCGAAACTAGAAGATCTCGGCTTGTCCGACAACATTCTTTCAGGAAACATCCCCTCGTTCATTGGAAACTTTACGTCTCTCGAACAACTTTCGTTGAGCAACTGTGGCTTGCATGGCGAGATTCCCGAGTCGTTAGTCAACCTCCGGAAACTGATACGGCTCACGTTAGATACGAACGAACTAACCGGAACAATTCCTTCCGGTCTTTTCAATATCTCCACCATTCGGTACTTCCTAGTGTTCACTAATAAGCTCCGAGGGAATATTCCTCCGGATATCGGCCTCACACTTCCGAATCTGAGGCATCTTAGTTTGGGAGACAACAACTTCACCGGAGCTCTTCCCGTTTCGTTGTCGAACGCCTCGTTTCTTGAAATCATAGAGATATTTTCCAACAGGTTTACGGGGCCCATGCCCAAAAATCTCGGCAGGCTTTCGAACCTTTGGTGGTTCTCCGTTTTCTCCACCTACGTCGAAGATGATATCGGTTTTCTTTCGTCTTTAACAAACTGCACTAGCCTCCAAGTTGTTTTGATCCTCGATAATATTTTAACCGGTTCTCTGCCGGTCTCGATATCCAATCTCACCACCCGGCTAACAAAACTAGCAATGGAAATGAACCAATTACACGGACCTATCCCTTCCGGTATCGGAAATCTCGTCGGTTTGACCAGCTTGACTCTCTTCCTCAACCATTTCAGCGGTCCGATCCCTTCAACCGTCGGAAAGCTTAAAAAGCTGCAACGACTAAATTTGAGCGCCAACAGATTCACGAACGAGTTACCATCTTCACTCGGTAACTTGACTTTGTTGAACACGCTATACTTGACGAGAAACAACATATCGGGAAGTGTACCTCCGAGCCTCGTTAACTGTGTCAATTTGTTAGAGTTGGATTTTTCTCGTAACAATCTTAGCGGTCCGATTCCGAAAGAACTGATGAGTCTTTCTTCGCTTTCTGTCGCCGTCGACTTGTCCGACAACGCTTTCTCGGGTTCTATTCCAGCCGAAATCGGTTCTTTGAGAAACCTCGCTTGGTTAGATTTGTCCAACAATAGATTATCCGGACTTTTCCCGAACACTATAAGCAGCTGCACAAACTTGCAGTGGCTTTACGTCGAGAATAATTCGTTTTACGGAGAAATACCTCAGGGCATGAGTGATTTGAGAGGCTTACTAGAGTTGGAACTATCGACGAATAACTTTTCGGGACCGATCCCGAGATTCTTGGCAGAGATTCCTCTACAACTGTTGAATATTTCGTTCAATAGACTTCAAGGGCCTGTCCCGAATGACGGGATTTTTCGTAACCAGAGTGCGTTTTCAGTCGAAGGGAATACTGACTTATGTGGCGGCATTCCCGAGCTGAAACTTCCTCCTTGCCCGTCAAAAAATCCCGAGACGAAGAAAAACTCTTCTGTTTCATTGAAAGTCTTGATCCCGATTGTAGTTTCTGGTGCCGTATTCGTCTCTCTCGTAGTGTGCTGGTACATACTCGTTCGACGGAAGAAAAAGTCGATAAAGAACCTATACGTGTCGTCGTTCGAGAGCAAGTTTCGGAGACTTTCTTACGCAGACCTTTTAAGAGCAACGAGTGGATTCTCCGAGGCTAACATTGTCGGAAACGGAAGATTCAGCACTGTGTACAAAGGAATTCTCGACGATGGAGAAACGACGGTAGCAGTTAAAGTACTCAATCTCCGAGTCAGAGGAGCGGTCAAAAGTTTCGAATCGGAGTGCAAAGCGCTGCGAGTTGCTCGACACCGGAATCTTTTGAAGATACTATCTATCTCTGTGAGCATCGACTTCCAAATGAACGATTTTATGGCGTTGATATTTCGGTTCAAGTCTAACGGAAGCTTGGAGGAGTGGTTGCATCAGAGTATAAGGTATATTCCGTTGATGAAGAGGGTGGATATTGCGATCGATATTGCGTCTGCGGTCGAGTATTTGCATAATGGAACTGGTTCGAAATCGGCTATAGTCCACGGCGATTTAAAGCCGAGTAACGTACTATTGGACGATGATATGACTGCGCACGTCGGTGACTTTGGATTGGCGAAAGTGATTTCCGATATTTCAACGAACTTTGCAGCAGACGAGAGCGCTTCTTCGGTTGCGGTAAAAGGGACCATTGGCTATATTGCACCAGGTTAATTTTCCCTTCTTATATCCTTTTTTATTTATTGTAATACATTATAAATTGTAATGCAATAAAATCTTGATTATTTTTTTTATTTTTTAATTTTTTATTGTTCGTTAGAATACGGAATGTCGGGTGTAATTTCGACACAAGGGGATGTGTATAGCTACGGTATACTCTTGCTGGAGATGTTCACAAACGTAAGGCCGACGAGCGATGCATTGTCATCAAACGATCAAAATCTTCATAGTTACGTTAGGAATTGCTTACCGAATAGATCGATTGAGGTTTTGGATCCGTTCGTAGTGCTAAACGAAGGCGACACGTTCAGCACTAGTGTTATGAACTGTGTGGCTTCTGTATTCGGAGTTGGAGTCGCGTGTTCGAGAGAGCATGCACATGATCGGATATCGATGGCGGATGTCGTTATCGAACTCAAACGAATTAAGGCTAGCGCTTGTTCGAATCGAGGATTATTGAACTAGTTAATATCTTTTATTTTCTTTCTATTTTGGTCAAGATTTAAATTGAGGATCCGAAATTACATTTTTCATTCATCGAGTTTGTACTGATTTCACATTTAGTCCTCAACGTTCAGGAAAAACACATTTGGTCCCTCGTGTTTCTATAATTTAACATTTTTTGTCATTTCTGTCAATTTATCGTTAGTCCGTCAGTTAAGGCAGTGACGGACGCACGCTTGATTCCGTTAGTACTAACGGAAAATTAACGGAAATGATCAAATGTTTGATTTTCTTAAACATGAGTGACCAATTGTGTTTTTTGTAAACATGGGGGACTAATTGCGAAATTGATTCAAACTTGAGGGACGGAAACTGTTTTTTCCCCGATTTTGGTATGTAGTAAAATTAATTTTTTGATTGGGATTAAGGAGATAATGCATAAATTACATCATCTATAATTTAAGATGGAAAATGTATGCCAATATCATTGTAATAATTAATTAATTATGAATCTTTTGAAATCTATTAGGATTTAGGACTATGAAGAGATTTTGCTTATATTTTTTATTTTTTCAAGAAAAAAAAAACTATAGATATAGAATGTGAATTATTAATGTGCATCATATTACAAAATCTTCTATAAATGAAAAATCTCACATTTCAATATTCCCCTTATTTAAAGTGGACCAATCACACATTTTTGTGATAAGAAACCAAATATATTTTATTTTATTTAAAGTAAAACCAAAAAATATTTAATTATGGCAAAAATCTATTTTTGCTTGTTCCTAATTAGTTTTCTATTCGGAACTTTTGTTCATGCCGATAATAAAAATTCAGTACCAACTCGTCGAGACGAAGTAAGACAGTATTCATCTTATATATGTATATAAAGTATAAATAAGAATTATATGATAATAGGAATTGATAATTAAATACTTTTTGAGTTTTTTTTTAATTTATTAAATACAATTTTTTTTTCTTTATTTTTTTGTTGTAATTAGGAAAAAGACTGGTGTATAGTACTGTTACAAATTTTATCGTACATGTATACGAATTCCCAAGAACCAACATGCTTGAATCAACGAGAATTATACAGAAACATAAATACGGAAGTTCCTTAATTTTCTCTCTAACGATGGATTTTAGAAGAGATGGAATGATTGCGTTTCTTTGGGGACCACGACCCTTTATATAACTGTAGAGTCCAGTTATATTATAATTGTGATTCAGCCCCATCAATAAATCACAATTAAGCCCTAATTGTCTCTACACATTAGGCCCATAATCATAGTATAATACCCACAAGTCCAACTCATTAATCTTTATTAGATCACAATTAATTTGGACTTTCTTTAAGATAGCCATACACATTTACGTCACATATGAGCCCACATAATTATTGAAATAATCCCAACATTTCCTACTCCATAACAATCTACGCATTTTCAGAAAAAAAAAATTGATTTGAAAATTAAAGTAATTTGAATAATAAAGGAATGAAGATGAGAACACGTACTTGGAGATTGAGCTCTTAAACCCACAAACACTTAGCTGGCACAACTGTAATTAGGAATAATTGAGAAATTGGAATTAGAAAATTATAGGTTTAGTTCGAGAGAAATTGAAGAAGAAAAATTTAATGACCAATTTATAAATTGATGTATTTGAAAAATAAACTTTGTCACTTTGATTCTATAAAATGTCTTGATTACCATAGGATGTGCGGTGAGTTGACCGAAACGTCAGAGTGCTAACCCCGGTGTCATCCCGAGTATTCTTCTTTTTCTCTCGGATCATGTCTAATGTCGTTATAAATTGAATTTAGATTATAAAAAATATTAAGGGTCGAAATATCTAAATCCCAAAAACAAAAACACAAACAAAGATGTTGTCGATATGCTTTCGAGGTTATAATTTAATTTAAAATAAGCTAAACAAAAACTACTTTCGCAAACACAAACTAAATTGTGAAGCAATAAAAACTCATAATTTATTTTATAAGCCTTTGCAAACATCGCCTTCGCCTTAATAAAGCTTGATATAATTGCTTATTTTTTAAGCTCGGAGTTACTTGCAAAATCCTAAAAAACGATTTGAAGCAACAATTACTCGATTCTGACCGAACAAAGAGCACAATCTTGTACCTTAACAAGTGTATATGACAAATTTGAAACCAGTTTAAGATCTAAAACATCTATAGAGGATAACCCTAAAAAACCACACAAACTTGGTACATTATAAAATATGCCCGTACAACCATCGATAGGAAAACAAGATTCAAGACGGCTTTTCGTAAGTGTTAGCCTCTCTGAAAGTTGCAATGGCACTCTTTATCATACCACCCATATCCGATCGAACAAACAGATGAGTGTTATCCAATACATGGATTATGAACTTCTGCGACTGAGGCAGTGATGCGTTCATGTTGATTATGAACTGCGTCATCGGAATGTCGCTGCACAAAACCAATAACACAATATCTTACACGACATATATATTTGTGTGTGTGTGTGTGTGTGGCAAAACTATCATTATTAAGACAAAATGGAATTTTACCATGAAATGTACAATCCTTTGACTGGATTCGACACCATGACCACTGTCCTCGAGAAAAAAAAAAAAAAAAAGAAACTTTATGAGAATGGATTACGAATACGACAAATTTCGCAGGTCATATGGAAGAGAATCGTAATCAATGTTTTGAAAACCGGACCGGACATTGAACCGTACCACCAAGTGGGTCGTGGTTGGACCGGTTCAACCGTGGTCCGACCGGGTTTTTTCATCTTTTTATTTTTAATCATTTATATATAATTCTTATAGTTTCTAAAATACAAAAATGTCAAAAAATATACGCAAAATTATCTATTCATCACCAATATAAAATATATCATAAATACCAAACAATAAATTAATAATCCTAATTTATTTACCACATATACATTTATAGAGAGTAAATTAATAATAATAATTCTGATATGCATTAATAGAGATTAAGACTTCTATGTAAATTACTAAATACACCCCCAATTACTCAAGCCCTAATATGTGATTTACGAAGACTACCTCATCTTCTCATCTTCTCTCCGCCGCCCACCCTATTTTTCTCCCCTGCATCATGTCCTCAATCGGTTCTTCAGCTTCTATTTAAAATATTATTGATTTTTTTTTCTTTTGTTTCTTATCTTCTCTTCTTTCTTTCTTAATCCCCCACCACGATTTACAGTACCTTGTACTAATCTTGTGGGGAACCTCCTTCAAAGACCCAACTTTCAATATAAGAATATAAAGATTTTCAAATTTTTTCTCAGATTTTGTTGGTCATTCTATTGCATCAACCCGGTTTTTGGGATCGGTTTTCACCGAGTTTATCCGGTTCAACCGGGATTTCCGCGGTTCTCAAACAACTGAACCGGTTTGTTCACACTTTCGGGTTTTTAAGTTCAACCGGACCGGATCTAGCACCGGTTCGTGGTTGAACCGGTCGGACCGGCCGGTCCGGTCCGGTTTTCAAAACATTGATCGTAATCAATTTCAGCATTGCATTGCAAGAAACTCATTCTCACTATATACATGACTTCCATAGGCAACCAAACCGAATTGGGGTCGGCCTTAAAATTACCGAATCCATTATTTAAACCGATAATACATAGCTTCATTGTGCGCAAGCACTTAAACCGACAAAGAACACGTAATTAATATCCGCGTCGTAATGCAATTCGAGCAAAAAAATTTAACATAATCTAAGCTATTTCTGAACGAAATAAAAAAATTTACATTACTACCACGCGAAAAACACAGAAAATAGATAATTCATAAATACAAGTTCTACATAATATAATAATTAGAGGTAAACCTAGAATACAACATCGAATCGCTTCAAGAAATCAGTAAACCTAGAATTACTTGGTGTTTTATTCACATGAAATTAATCGTTCAAATTGTAACCCACGGTTCCGATCAAAACCCTAAAAACACCCGCACAGAATCCCCGCCAGAAATTTATAAAATCAATATTCATCAAATCTTTCCACAAATAGAACTGGTGAAGATCTCAAAATTAAATTGAAAAACGAATACAACAAATTAAATATTAAAAATAATTTAACAAAATTGCTCAACCTGCGCAGCGATTGATGTTTGTATAGAGATGTTAGAGAGATAAATTTATGTTGAGCTTCTTTCGGTTCCTACGAAGAGCGAGAGCTGGCGGTAGCCGGTAAACCAAAGGGCCTGTGCGCTATTTATATAGAAAGAGTTTAAAGTTTTGAATAAATTACACATAACTCCCCTAATATATATCAATTACACCAGGGGTGGAGATCGGACGGATCGGATTGGATTTGGGTGTTTCGGAAAAATTCCGATTTTTTTTCGGAAGTCCAAAATGCCTTCCGATTCCAATTCCGATTTTTTCGGAATTCAAGAATCGATTCCGATTCCGATTTTTTTCGGAATTTTCGGAAAATCGGATTTTTCGGAATTTTTTGAGAAAAAAAAAATAGTCCTTCACTGCCACCGACACAGTAGCAGAAGATTGGGAAAAAAAAAACTCAAAAACAAATATTCTTCAAAGCAACAGACCCAACAATAGCCGAATTGAAAAACAACCCAAACAAATATTCTTCAAAAACAACATAAAAAAACGATTCAAGACTTAAATCATACGAACGTGGGTGGAGGAGCAGCGTGACGAGAGAGACCGGCGCTGGTGGTGGTCGTGAAGAGCACAGGCGGCGCTGGTGGTGGTCGTCGATCGGAGAAAACGGGCGGCGCTGGTGGTGGTCGTCGGAGAACACGGGCGCCGCTGGTGATGGTGGTGGAAAAAAAGAGAATGCAGAGAGGCTGAAGAAAGACGAGGAGAGAGATAGGGGGGCAATTAGGGTTTCAAATAATTATAATATTTTTGACTTTTGTACATATACTAGTACTACACCCGTGCGATGCACGGTGAATATTATTTAGAATTGACGGTAATTATACGTATTTAAAATTGATGATTTAAAACAAATGAGGTATATTTGTATATATTCGAGTCCATACAATCATGTTTTCAAAAAACAGAATAGAAAATTTAATAGGCTCTTTAATCACTTTATACTATGTTTATTAACGACTTTTAGAGTATCATCTTCCGTTGTTAGCACAACATATAATTGTTTTACGTCATCAGACTTATGTAAGAGAGTGTTCGGCTACAATGTACAAAAAATCATTTTCCGAGAAAATCAATGTTTGGACATATAACCTATTCGGAAATAATTGAATGTATGATTGAACTATCAGATATTGACCAGACTTAAGCTACTGGGTTGTTTCCCCTTCATTTGCTTCACTTGCACGTCTTTGTTGTTCCCAAGTAGCTTCAATCTAGAATTTGCAAGCCTAAACGACGCCTTGAGACGAAATTCTACTTCTGATCCTATGATACTGAAAAACATGACTAAAAAATTTACACTTGAGACATAAGCATGGAAGAGATATATAGTTTGTGAGTTACAGGTTGATGGTACCAAAATATCC